AAAAAAAAAAAAAAAGCCAGGGGGGGATGACATTTTAAATGTCTCTGTTGAAATGCCTGTACTTTGTACATCTCTCAAACTTTTGCCCTTTCTGTTTTGTGCAGGGAAATAGGAAACAACAACAAAGCACTGTTACCTTGGCTGTTTGTGCAGAAGCAGAAGTATAATAAAATCTGTTGCCCAGTAGAGGGAGTAAAAGCATCACCATTACAGGTAGTTAAATTTAAATTTGGGGCTTGAATAGGTTTTATGTAGTACACTCTAAAAGTCACCTAATTTTTTTGGCCATCAGGGAAGGGGCACATTATCACAGTAGAGAAAAATCTGGAACTTGAGAAATACATGTCTTAACTTCATGAATAACCATTTGACAAATTAATAAATTTGTTATATTAGCAATGTAAATTAATATTGGTTAAAAAGAGATGTTTCTAGGCAGGAACAGTTAAGTTTGTTTGTTTTTCCCCCCATGTTTAAACTTAGACTGAGTACCGCAACAAATGTGAATTTTTGATCGGCGTAGGTGTAAACCAAGAAGACAAAACTGTGGGCTGTCGCCTTGGCAAATACAAGGGTGGAACTTGTGCTGTAGTGGAACCGTTTGACACTATTCACATTCCTGCTCTTGCCAAAAAGGTAGTGAAAGCCTTTCAAGACTACATAAGGTGAGATGTAGATTAGACTTAAGGGTTGCTGTTAAAGGCTTTTGCTGTCTTAAATATTTTTAGGATTAAAAGTTTACCAGTACTTTTCTGCAGCATTTCCTCAGTACATGGTTGGTTTGGACATGGCTCCTTTCATTTACTTTAGCAAGCTTCTTTAGTGTATTCATTACTTGGCCATATGCAGAGCAAAGTATGGTTCTTGTCCTTTGATATTTACACTCAAGGCTGAATACATGATACAAAACAAATGCACAAAATGCCAGATGGCAAGGAATTAGGTGGTTCAGTATCACAATAATAGAGGCTCTTTTTCCCCAGTCTCCCCTCCCCTTTTTCTCATCCTTACTGTTGAAAATATGTGAAGAAATCTGTTCTAAAGAAGAGTTTGAATCATGAAGGTTGGACACTTTGTTTTAAAAGAAAGTGGGAGACTTCTTCATGCATAAGAGTGGACTTGGGGGTGGGGGGGAATCACAAAGATGAAAGGTGGGATGGTTCTGAGTAAAGAACAGTTAAGCTTAGCAAACAGGAAAAGTGAGATGATTTAAGATGTGGGCAGAACCCTAAAGATGAAAATGGCTCGCTCATCAAGACCCTGCTTCCTGTGTGGAAACCAGTAAAGTGTTTATTAAGGACAGTGGCATCATTTGATCCTTGTGAAAAAAGCATGGAGTGAAAGGGAATATGGTACAAATGATGACAACCAGAAAAGGTAGCTGTTGCATTCGCTGAGATGTGTTCTATGCACTTGTCTGAGTATTAGCCCAAAAGGATGTGTTTTGCAATACTGTATTATCCCTCTTTACAAGACAGCCAAGACTTTCAGCTTTTTAAATGAACTGTTGCTTCTCTCCTACCTCATATGGTAGGCTCAGGCAGTTTAGCTGGATTATAAAGTATTATGTAGGGAACATTTCTGTTCAGTAATTGAGATTTTTTAAAATTGCAGGTCAACCCATTACTCAGTTTACAGCCCAGAAACCTATGAAGGTCACTGGAAGCAGCTCACAGTCCGTACCAGCAGCGATGGCCATATTATGGCAATAGCTTATTTCAATCCTCAGGTACTGAAGATGGTGTAGACATAAGTGGGGGTGGGGGTGGGGGTGTGTGTGGAGACCCTTAAATCTCACAGACTCTTTAAGGAATTATTTGATTTCCCTAAGCATAACTCTCTCATAAGACCACTACACTCCTATTTCACCTGACCAAGGACCACTACTAGTGGATTAACACCATTCTACCTTTGTTCCAATCCTGTTGTTCCCTTCAGCACACTTGTGGGTGCTTGAATTTGCCCCACAGAGCAGCTTGTAGGATTGTGACCAGTGAATGCAGTCATGCTGCAGAGGCCCCTGGAAAAGATGCTGGAGAGGACTGCTCTAGATAACTGCACTTACGATGGAACAGCATGTTGAATAATCTATTCAGTTGTCTTTGACTAGAAGGACAATGCATGGAGAGTGTACAGAGAAGGCTGCTTGTGCTTGCAGAGATGCTGGAGTGAGGAAGTCCCTCACGTTTGTAACAGCCATAGTTTGCAGCCATGTAGCTTTTGTGAAACTAAAGCTGTATCATTTCAGCATTCCTTACCAAAGGCATACAGTGACTGAAATGATGGCGGAGAATTTTTTGCTCCTAGACACTATTTCCCTACTTAAGTTGATTTGGTGCAGGCTTCTGAATACCCAACAAAATGAATAAAGCTTAACAGGATACCTATTAAATCTGGATGCTGGAAAATAGTCAAGTATATAATAGTCGCATTTTCTTTTCATTTGGATTTTCTAGAAATTAAGTAAAGAAGAGCTTGCTGAGTTGAAAGCATCTCTGGCAAAGTACTTTACAGAAGGGACCGGAAAGGACAGTGGGGTAACCTCTCTGTACTTTGTAGAGGAGGGTCAGAGGTAAGCCTTGTACCTGGAAAGGAAAGTTTAAGTGTTCTTTTTCCTGTAGTTAGACTCCTGTGAAAATAATGCTGCACCTAATATATTTTGCTTTTTTCTTTCAGAAAATCTCCCAATCGTGAAGACTTGCCCTTAGATCACGTGGCTGGTGATAAGTACATATATGAAGAACTTCTTGGTCTAAAGTTTAGAATTTCTCCCCATGCATTTTTCCAAGTAATGTTGTCATTGAGTTGTATTTAAACTAAGTTGTAATTAGTGCAATAAGTACTACTTCTTAACTGACTAGTTTGCTAAGAAACTGAGATGTCTAGTGTTATAAAAAATATTATTTTTTATAGAAAAAAAAAAAAAAGAGGGTGCAGAAGTATACAGAGATCTGTTTTCTTTAATTACATACCTCTGATAACTGAATATTTTTAGCATGTGAGTGACACTTTTATACTATAAACTTTCAGATTCGGCACTTCATCTAAACTAGTGAAAATATTTGAATGCTCTTTGGTCAAGTTAGTATATGAAATTTACAGCTCTATAATGGCAATCAGGCCTTGTATGGAAGAGGAAGGTATAGTTTCTACCTAGGAAGGGTATTATGAATGTGGCATTTACAGTAGAAAGTATATTTTTCTGGAATAATCAGTGTCACCATCATTCTACATAATCAGACACCACAGTATGAAGTGCTGAAAACTGTACTTTAATTACTGTACTGTCCAGCACATATTAAAAACAAGAAATAAACACAGTACCGTGTAATGATTTAAAATCTCAAAAGTGCTAATTAACAAGCAGTTCCCAGTTGTCTTGCCAACAAGCAAAACCCAACTGCAGCTGCTGGTTTCATTAATACAAAGCTGTTTGAAGAGTCTTACTTTCTACTGTATTCCAAAATAGCACTTTCCTCCAAACACATACTTAGCTGTAGCAAGTAAACTCTTAAGTCTTTGAAATCAAACCAATAACATGAAAAATCCCCAAGTTTTTGGTTGAGGGGGGAAAATTAAATGCAAAAACTACAGCGTGTGCTCTTTACCTGCGTTTTCAGGTAACTTCTTTTTAGAGTTGAGAAATCACATGTACATTGTGGGGAATGATACCCTGGCATTTCTAATCTTCACTTTAGATCTTGGGCCACTAAGTTCTTATTTCTTCATGTAGAGAATTTCCTAGGCTTGGAGATACTGGCCTGGACAACTTGCTTCCTTATTCTGTATCTTCATACCTATAATATGTAGGTATAGGAAAGCTATCATTATCAGTTCTAGAGGGACAAGGTGATACACTAAATTGATTTTTTTTTACTGTGTTGATGTTATTTCATGAGTATTTCCTCCTGTTTCTGTATCTTTGTTATTCATTTCCTTTCCCTCAGTAGAAATTTTCGCTTAGTAAAACATGTTTTCCCTTCCTTGCCTGCAGTTTAACTGTTACCTTGGCATTTGCTCTGAATATTTCATTGAATCAAAAAAAAATGTCACATGCCTTTAGTGGTGCATTGCAGATTGCTTTGAATTTGGTCAGAACTCTCCTGGAACCCCTGAATTATACCCTAATCTGTTGAGCCAGTCCAACATTAAGCTGTTAAAGAGAGAGATTGATTTACTGTCTTCTGTCAGTAAAACGCTTCTTTAAACTGTACATGAAAAGCTGGTTTATGTTATCTATTTCATAGATGGGGAAGAACATTTTCATAAAAGGGATTAATGTTCCTTTCAGCCTGTACCTCTACTGTTTGAGAGGACGGGGAACCATGTGATGTGTTGGAACTCCACAGGTAAATACCCAGGCTGCAGAGGTTTTATATACAGCCATTAGAGACTGGGCTCAGCTGACCCAAGATAGCACTGTACTTGACATCTGCTGTGGAACAGGAACCATAGGACTTTCGTTGGCAAAGGTGAGCCATTCCCCTTCTGTGCACTGCTGAATTAGTAGCAAGCCATTCATTGCAAACAGTACTTGAATCAACAGTTACTGCACTTACCTATTGCTACTGCTTTTTAAAGTTGATTTAACTGAGGATATATAGCCACGCTACCTGAATGAAAATGTCCCTGTGTTTCCTGGCTGCATGTCTTTTGTTAAGTTTGAAAAAGTCCAATATAACTTACTTTCACTTGACTTCACAGCAGTTAAAATGAATCTTCCTTTGCTCATACATCTGTCAAAAGCAGAAGTGCAGTCACATACTAAAAAGTGACTGTAAAAGGGGATTGCCTCAGTGAACAGACCTGGTCCCTGTATATAGTTAAAGGCAGATCCATTTTAGTGATTCATCAGTTCTCAGCCAACTAAAACTGTGAAAATTTCAAAACCATTAAAATCTGTGGAAAACCAGGGAAGGCCGCAACATTGCACCTGTGCTCAAGGGCCTGTTTTAGGTATGGGAATCTTTTTATTATTCAATGCTGTACAGGGTGAGAAACAACTCAGCTGGACTAAAAGTGTTTACAGGATTAGCAATTAAAGAAGCAGGGGGGAGGGAATGTTTGTAAGAGTAAATTAAACATGCTTGATTTACAGCTATAAAGTAGAGATATCTGGGGAGGCAAAGAGGCTAGAAGGGAGTCTTTTAATCTCTTAACTATTAAACAGCCCCAAGGTATCCTATCGCTCTGCCCTCCTTTCTGAACAGCTGCAATGAACTGGTTTTTCTTTGATCAGGTAGGAAGTAGTGATGGCATGAAGGGTCTTTACTCTTTGCTTCTCTTCTGATCTTGTGCCTGTTATGTCACCATATTTAAACTGGGCCCTGCTAGACCTAACCTGCTACCTTTGCTTCTGCAGAAAGTAAAGAAAGTGATTGGAATTGAGCTCTGTCAAGAAGCTGTGGAGGATGCCAAAGTGAATGCCCAGATTAATGGTTGGTAAAGCTAAATGCTGGGATGCCTGTTTTTAAGAACAGCTTCGAGAGTTGGGCAAGTTAAATAGAAGTCTGGTGCTTAACTGTGAAAATCTCAGGTTAAAGTGATTACTTGAATGCTACTGACATCATTCTTGTGTGTTCCCCCTGAGATAACTCCATGAAAACTGATCCACCTCTCTCTTGAGATTTTAAAAGATGCTATATTTGAATTCAGTTTTTTCAAGAAAATTATATATAGTTCACTTAAAACACAGACCAGATTTCCTGTTGATAAATAATTGCTTGTTGTGAATTTCTTACTTCACAGCAGGGCCTAACACTACAGACCAGACAGTATTACAAACTAAAGAGGTACAAATCCCTGGTAACAAAGAACTTTGTTTCTTGATAACAATACGGTTACTGTTAGGATGATGCTTTTCGAATTTAGTATCTGTGTGTTCAGAATATTGGTGTTAAATGATCTGCATGAGCTATGTTTTTCAGTAAAGCTAAAGCTCAGATACAAAAGCACTTGTCCCTAGCAACTAATGACTTATTAATTGGAGAGCTGCTTTTTTTTATTGAAGTATTTTACTTGCTGGTTAACTTTTCATGTATTACCTTCCTCAGAACTAACTAATGTTGAATTTCACTGTGGAAAAGCTGAAGACATTGTTCCTTCTTTAATTAACTTACTGGCTTCACAAAACCTGATTACAGTTGTGGATCCACCACGAGCTGGGCTACGTAAGTTTTGTTTACTTGGGCTTTGGCTTGTATTTAGTAAAATGGATTTAAGGGCAGAATTAAAATAGAAAGAAGACATCAGTGAAATAGCTGATGGCTTTAAACATTACTCATTGCAGATTTTTACTACAATAGGACATTCGCTGCATGTTGGAATTTTAACTTGAAATTTTTCTGTATATCTACCAATATGAGTTAAAACTGGCAAGTGGAACTCACTCTTGCGCGCTCTCATTTTGGTTGTGTTAGATTCCAAGGTGATTCTTGCAATCCGGAGGGCTGAACACCTGAAGAAACTCATTTATGTATCCTGCAATCCTAGAGCTGCCATGAATAACTTTGTGGAGTAAGTTTTTTGAATTAATCAGGTACAATCTGGAAGGGGTCAGGCACAGGCAACCAAAAAACACACTTCCCAAAGAAAAACAAAACTAAAGTATCTTCCATAAAACAAAAATTAAGCATATTTGCTGTGGGATACACTATTGGTAGTTTTTCCTGCTGGGGGAGGACCCACATTTGGTTGAGCTGTGGCAATCTTAATTTCTAATTCTGGGAGAGCCCTTTCCTTCTATAGTGTAATTAGTACTAGTGATGAAAAGAATATTATCTTATGGAGAAGGGCTCTTGCTAGAAATATGGGTATCAGTGATTGAAGGAATTTTAATTTCTCCTCTCTCTCCCCCACACCACCCCAAGCCTTTGTCGAGCTCCCTCCAATCGTGTGAAAGGAAGCCCTTTCCGTCCCATTAAAGCAATGGCTGTAGACCTGTTTCCTCAGACTATGCATTGTGAACTGCTGCTATTTTTTGAAAGAGTAGAATATTCAAATGGAAATTCTGCTGAACCTACTCCAGACTCAGCTCTCATCAAAAACACAGGGGACGATTCTATGCAAAAGGACACCGCTGACCAAACTGATGAGGAGAAACTACAAACTCTACCTTCAGCTTAATGTTGACAGGCTGGACAGTGTGTCTGCCTACGTATATGTTATTCATAAAGACAGACAACTAACTTGATCTGTTGCTATCTGCATAAGTAACACTTCTCAGAAAAAGTGAAAGAATGCTGCTATTTGAAACACCTGCACTAGCCCTATAGGACTTATTTTTTCTGTACAGCATACCAGTCACCTAGCTTCCAAATAGATGAATGTTTAGATTGAATGCATCTTTAATTCAACAAATGAAGATGAATTTGATCTTCGTAAGATACTAAAAAACCTAGTTCTTGAGGAAATTAAGCTTATTACATAAATCAACTTTTTCTCTACCCCTCCCCCCAGCCCCCCACTCATGAGCAAGTTGGCTTTGAGACAGTGGGACAGCCTGCATGAGTGGAAGAAACGATCATGACTTCACCCTTAAAAGCATGCTGAAATATACAGAAGTAAGATTTTTAATTCTTAAGTTCTGTCCAATTTAATAACAAGGCCTTCTAATACACGGACATTTGCCAGAAACTCGGATTGAGTGAATGTTTTATTTTTCTAAAGCCACAGGAATGTTATAAGTTTGAAAATGTTATGGTCAGGGTAAGAGTGAACATCTATTAACAATAAGCTAATTCTGTTAAGACATGTTTTGGCTCATGGACTGACTTCAAATAAACTGCTCTAAATGTGTTAAAAAAATGTGTCCAGCTGTTTTATGGTTACTAGCATCACAGTTCAACTGGAAGTTACCCATTGGCCCATGATGCTTTAAGATTTGTTGGGTTTTGGGGGGGGGGGGGGGGGGGGGGGGGGGGGGGGGGGGGGGGGGGGGGGGGGGGGGGGGGGGAGGGGGGGTGTGGAAAGAGGGTTAGTGTGTTTGATTTAAATAAGGAAGCCAGATCTTCATCTGGGAAAGACCTGCCCTGCTCAGTGAGAGAATTTGATGTCTCATGCTGTAATGCTAGGTAACTTAGTTCTCTACTCTGCGTAATCATGAATTATTACAGAAGTTCATTATGAAATCCATTGCTTGTCCCTTTCCATTTAAGGAATACTATCTGTGATTAACATACTTGAAAATGAAGTAATACTTGATAACCAAAAAGAAGGAATCAAATGAGAACTATGGCAGGGACTCCTCACCGTAGGAGGGTACAATATTACTACTAACTGCAATTCATGCACTTGACTCAGCCATCAAAGTTAGGGGGATGGGACTGAAAACAAAAAGACTTTTGTCATGGCCATTTGTGATTCAGTCACCTTCAGCTCAGAGTACAATGGAAGAGCGCACAGTTCATTCATTGCGTTGAATGCAAAATGTCTGCTTTATGCAGGCTCTAAACCTTTTACTCCAGTGACAGCCAAAGACCTAGGGACTTGCGTACTTAATTCTTTCAATTCTGATTCAAAGCTATGAATTAATCCTCTTCCAGAACAGGTACTTTACTAGACACATTGCTGCAGCGCTAGGAAACAGGTAGTGCCTCCCACCCATGAGCCAGTGGCTAGAGCACTTGGCTCTGCTTAATTTAGAACACGAACCTGATCACCTCTCATCTTCTGTATACATTCCCTAGCCTCTGTGCTACAGCAGGTTCTGAAACATCTCACTCTCTCCTTAAAGCTGTTCCAGTAATACCCAGCAGTAGATAGTTAGATACCTTTGGGAATTGGTGGATGCTAAATTGGGAGTTTGGATTTTTAGAGTTTTGGCTTAAGTACTTCATTTTCTTTATGGATTAAAGAGGGCTTTTACATGAAGAGGAACACTTTCAGGAGACAACATTGACCTTGATTTGTTCTAGGATCTCAGTTCAGTTTATCATGTGAAAGTCTGTCAGGTGAAATGTTACATTGGCTAGTAGATGGTAAAATATACAGATAGTTCCACTTTCATGGCAAAATAAAGGCAAGAGTATTGGGCAGCTATAGTAACAAGTGCCCATCCCATCCATATCCTTGCAGCAGCACCACACTATTAGTCGCACATCAGCACTTTTATAATATCAAACTTTATTGCTCAAAACTAATTGTCTGAAAAATACACATGTAGTACTCAAAAGACCAAACACATAGGCTTATATGATTGTGCAGAAAAAAAGCAAGCAGAGGCTCAGTGAAAATGAGGCTTTATAGTTGTACCAATTTAGCACTGGCATCAAGCAACTGCACTCAATACAATTCATACAGCAACCATCGTTATCTACTTGGGCATATAAAAAATGCATTTATTTGCTTTTCCCTTCTCAAATACACATCAAAATACTGTAACTGATCACCTTTTATTTGGTTAAGAATGGCATGGCTTCTTGCACTCTCTTTCACGTTTATAATTTTTCCCACAGGAAGCGAGGAGATAGAAGGCTATTATTTTTCTGAACCTTAACCCCAGAACCAAAATATAGTCTGGAGTGTTTGTAGGCTGTAATTAAGATTTTAAATACTTAGATGTTATCAAGTTTTCACCGTGGCTGTGTAAAGCCTGACATAGGAATTTACCCCAAACAGTAGGCTTATGCATAATATTTGAGCTGTTTCAAGTGTCTGGGTACCTGACTATTTCATTGGTTTTGTTTAATAAAATATTTAATAAAAAAGCTGAATGACTGGTGTTGTGTTTAAATAGGTAGCATCCAACTAGTTTGTTGCAAGTCACAGTAATTTTCCATCTGTACCATAGAGATGTGAATGCACACTAATTTAACCCTTAAAGTAAATACACCACACTTCTTTCAAGAAGCACATAATATGCAAAGCAAAAACTGTCCAATTCCCACAGGATGGAACAGTTCTGTAATTAATACACTCCATCCACATAAAAACACCCATCTTTCCTGGGGCAAGGGAGGGATAAAGAACAAAGATCAGTGACAAAAGCAGCACTTAGTTTTATGCATTCATACAATCAAGATCTAAACCTTTACAGCTGGTCACCTAGAAAAACACACAAGAGATACAAGACGAATTTAGGATACATCTTGAATCACACCTTAAGTGTTCATGCAGAAGCTGAAGTTAATGCAATGATCTATCCTCTATCACAGCAGCTCGTGCTTATGTGCAAATGCAAGACTTACACTCCAAACAATAGTAAACATTAAAAACACAAGAATACTTCACAATGACAATAAAACAGCAGTTGTTTGTTCCAGCAGTTATTGCGCTTTATTTTCTGGACATCTCTCCAGTTAAAGGCTGCAGCAAGGTGTAATACCATCCTTTTTTAGAATGCATATTATGTACTAGGCTTTGGTTCACAATGAAATATCTGGATGTTTTATTTAAGGGCAATGGTCACTTTCTTGCAATTCAGATAGTGGTGAACTGAGGTAATACAGAAATCCTCTTAGCAATAAAAGCAAATTTGTAAGTGAGGCATCTATGGATACTCTGCAGGTGGCCTGCAAAACATTGACATTCTGCTTTTGGAAAAAATAAAAAGGTCCACAGGGGTGATGCATCTTTTACAGTGTCATCCAAAGACTATTTTTTCTGCTAGAAATACATAACCTGAATTAAAACCTACATAACACTGTAATACATTTAGGCATAGAAGATAAGCCCTGTCTTTGTGAAAGTCAGAAGCAAGCAGCAACTACTGCTTGTAAGTACTGCACCAATGTTACATAACTTTCAGAAGATTGAGATTTATTAAAGCTTATGCTAAAACAAAATAAGCAGAGGCAGGTTTTTTTGTTTGTTTTTTTTGATAGGCCACTTAAAATAACAGTTTAGGTACAGTCATCCACCTACCCGTATCCTTTGCTGAAAACAGAATTACAATTTGCAGAACTCAAAAGCTGAATAATAAGCACATTAGGTGACTTCATATTTGCAGAGACCTCTGAGTATACAACTTGTAATGTAAATACAGAAACAGATGAGACTGATCCTAAGTAGAATTACAAACAGGAAAAAGGGTCAAAACATCCAACAAAGAACAGAATGTTAGCTTAGGATAAAAAAATTAAAATTTCCCAATTTGCAAAACAGCAGGGATAATATTAAAGGTGGTCTGGAAATACTGATGCCAAAACTTAAAATCCTAGAGACACAACCATCTATTATACTGGAGCACACTGTGGTAAAATTTCACTAACAACTGTCCAGATAAGTCCCAGAGCTGCAATTTTAAGGATGAAGAACTGAATCGTCTTCCTGCCAATGATTTGGGGATTGTAAGATACAGTAGTACAAATACCAAGTCTTGGTTAAGTCACTGGACCCCTGCTACGAACCTGGTTTCCTGATTTTAAGCAAAAGTTTTCCTTCTAGTTTGAGAGATTTACTGACGTAGCCAATGAAGAATGAACCCCACTTGAAGGGGAACAGCAGTGCTTCCATGACAGACAGAAGTATTTCTGTGTTTAACTAATGTATAAAATCCTCAGCAGATAGTGAGTACTGCCAGTTTTCTAAGATTGTATTTCATAAACATTTGCATATCCATGTTCTTTTTCCATCTTAATCAGTACAACTTAAGAGGTCTTTATTCTACTCTTTTATTCTATGCTGTATCCCTTATCTACAGTCTAAGTTTTTCATTGCAAAAAAGTTATTCAAATACTAAAAATAATTAAAAATCAGAACAAGGAAGTAAAACACCTAGTTACAAACTTATTTTTAAGTGTAAAATTGCTGCAGTCAGTTATTTTAAGATTCCCAAAGGCCAGGCCTCAAATGCAAAGCCATTTGAAAATTCTTTGAATTCATAGTTCAAGTTATCTAAGACAACT